CCCCAAAACCCCAAAACCCCAAAACCCCATAGTCCAGAATAATAAGCATGGCTATAAAAGAATAATTAAAAATGCTATTAGTCTGAATAAGTTGATTATATAGAGTTAAGTTAATCCTTCTACTTCTAGTAAGTGCTCATTGTGATTCTCACAAGTTTTCAGATAAAAATGAGTGAAGTTAAGAGATCCAATCTTTCCTTAAACTTCCTGTTTTCTGGTCTAGGATGACATCTTCACAATTATCATCAAATAAACCTCTGATGTAATCAGGGATGTCTTCAATATCTGCATCCTAATCTCCAAATTCTGACATCATGATTGTCTTTTGACTTATGATTGTTATCTTTTTACTAACTTCCTTAATTGTAACCTTCACAAACTACCTACTTGAATCACAGTATAGCATATACATGAAGTATAATGTGGCAGATTTAAAGATACCTTGCTTGAATAATTTGAGATGCTTGCTTGGGTCTTCGCTCTAGTTGTGGAAGTTTATGAGCCTTACTTTCTCGGCTCTTTTTATTGCCAGGAATTTTCTAAATTAAGCTTGAATCATAATGAGAGCAATTATCTTTTTATCGATTGCTTTTAGCTTATTTTTCTTCTTTTAGGGGACTGGCTGTTAGATCTTTTATTTAGGAGGTGGAACTACTGATGCCTATTTAGGATTTAATTATTGTATAGGTGAAGCCTCAAATCTTGAATCTGCTTCTTAGATAGTTTCCTATTGTCTTATTTTAGGATTATTCCTGTTAATAATTTGAGTTTTTGCTTATTTTTTCTTCTTTTTGTCATTATCACTATCACTTGATGATGAAGATGACGATGAAGATGATGGAGATTCACTATCTTTCCTCTTATTTTATACTGGCATTTGTCTTGCATGGTCTTAATGATTTGATGTGTTGATTCTTAATTGCTCATGGCGATCTTACATTTCTCTGAATTTTTTGAAATTCAATGAGAAATCCTCATTAACTATATCAAGGCATTCAAGCATCATCATAAACTCAGCTCTATTTGTCTTAAACATAATCCTACTATTTACCTCGGCTGTAGAAGCATTTTTATTTCTCACAAAAATTCTTTTAGCTACATCAAGAGACAATTCTAAGTCATAAATCTCGTTGATGTTCTCCACTTCTCTTAAGATGACAATATAGAATGGATCATTACTTGATCGAACCATATTCAATTTGGAAGACATCAGAAAGATAAAATAAAGCTTGCCATCACTTAGTCTTCTGCATTATCTTGCGATCATAGTATATCTCGCTTCGTCTGGGTTGATGAGATGATTGTACTAAACTCTAGTTAAGTGCCCCCTTACTAGTGCTTGAGCTTTAATCAATTTCCTTTGATACTCAAGTTGCTTTTAATTAACTGGTTTTATTGCTGCCTTTTCTTTAGTTTAAACAAAAGAAGTTTGCTATGATGATACAATTGAAGCCTCTTCCTTCTCCATTTTTAATAGTTCCTCAAAGGTAAGAACTTTATTTTTTGGATAAAACGCATCCTCATACTTTTCGCTTTCAGCTCCTTCATCAAGCTAGCTGTAGCCTTGGTCTGAATCACTCTCTACAGGCTTTTCTTATTCAATTTCCTCCTCGACTACTGAATGTTAACTAATAGATTCTTTTTCTTCCTCCTTATCACTCTCTGATTCAGATTCAGATTCATAGTTTCTTTTCATTTTTAGTTACTATGGATTTTAGGAATAATTGGCATTACTAGGATTAAATTCGGCATCAACTATTCTTCCCTTAATCCAGCTAATTATAAGATGCTTCTTTACATATTCTGCAACAAATTCCTCTTATTTAGGTAGTTAGTTTCTCTGTAGTTTTTTCTTGATGCTATTTTTCTTCATCTCTTTTTTGAGATTTTTTACCACCATTTTGACTTTACTATTTTTCTTCTTAAATTTCTCTGTTATTGTAACTTAAGCTGAGTCTTTAAGATTAATTACTACATATTAGCATAGCTTAACTTTAGACTTCTTTTTATTCTCACAATCCTTTTTGGCAATGAATTGACGAGCCTTCTTTTAGATTGTGATTGCTGCCTATTCAAGTTTTTTCTTATTTATTAGTATTAATTTAGGTGGTTAAGGGACAGGAACCAGTCTTCTCAGGATTTCTTCATCTGAATCAATTACCTCCTCTTTATCTGATTCACTCTTAACTGATGACTTCTTAGAACTTTTTGATAATTCATCCATTTTCAGAGGTTTGTCAATACTCTTTTGTGATAAAGATTACGATAGCTTATCATTTAGCTTATCTTCATAGTCATCTTCAATAGGCTCCTCTTCAAATGCCTCATAAGCTTCTTCTTCTGAATGACTAGATGAAGATTTCTTTGAAGATTTTGAGGATAATGACTTTTGTTTGATTGGCTAAACAACTGGTATTTGAACAGGCAATGGTTTTATAGACTCTGAAGAAGATTTTGATAGAGAAAGATCTTTCTTTTGGTCACCTTTCTCGGATTTAAAATCACTATAATTATCCTCTATTGATTCATCAATAGGTTCTTCATCTTAAGCACTCTCTTACTTGAATTTTTCACTTGAACTGGAAGAAGATTTCCTTCTTTGTGGAGGAGGCTTGTCAACTTTGATATTCTTGATGAGTTCTAATCCCTCTGAGAAATATTATGGTTCAATAAATACAATAGTCTATTTATACTCGTGTTTACCTAATTTTTTCAATAAATCCTGCAGTTAATCAATCAAATCATTCTTTGGATCTCCAGTCAAATGAAGTTAAGATAACATGTTCTTAACTTTGTTGAAGATTTCAATGTTAGTGACTGTACTCTTGTTGAATCCCAATTAAGTAATGGTCAATTGCTATTCAAATATTATTTTTTTATCATTGGGGACATAAATTTCTAGTGTGACCATCTATGGCTGCTTTTTATTCATGTTTTAATTTTTTTCAAGTACAACTATTAATGATGCGATGAGCAAAACCTGTTTAGGTGATTTCTTGTTTTGCTTATGAGCATATATCTATCTATGAAACTAGAATTTTTATCTTCTCTGAGCTAAAAGTTGTTTGAAGTTCTTTTAACAGGCATATCGTCTGTAGTATTTCTAGATCTTAATAGCTGCTACTTTTAACTTCTCAAATACATCCCGTTAGGATTCTCTTTTGATTTTCTTCATTGAGGGCTATTCTTCTTTTTTCCAAGGATTTCTCTGAGATTCCAAAGTCTTTTCATCTGTATTTTAAAGGTTGGGATTTGCGAATTGTGATCTGTATTGAAATCCATTGCTCTAACTAATCTTAGTTTCTCGAAGTTCTCTTTCAAAGTCTTCGCCAAATCTTGAGTCTCTCTCATTAATGTCAGTATAGGTTGACTACATCATATGATGATGAGGACCTTTATCATCTGAGTGCATTTTAGGGTAAAAATTAGGCATTAAATGAGAGTTGGCACTTCTTTGATCAGGAGTAACAATATTATACTAATTACTGGAATGCTTTAGACTACTCACAGATTACTTCTATTGCTCTTAATGCTGATACTAAGGGAAGAAACTCTTTTGAGAATCCTAATCGATTTAAACTTCAATCTTATCAGGAGTAGATCTCATGTTATCTTGTTGGCTCTAGCTAGAATTCATGTAATTATTAGTCATTGGGTGTTAAGTTCTCATAGGTGGAAGAAAAATGCCTGTTCCATATCCATTCACATTAGAAGAGGGATAGTAACCATATTAGGGAGGAGGAGGTGGTAGCATGTACTGTGGTGGAGGCCCATAAGGATAGTAAAAGGGATAAGGGGCTGGATATCCCATAGGCATACCATTTTGGAAACTATTACTCATTTGCAAATTTTGATTGTAGATGCCTGAATTTTGCATTTATTGCATTTGATATTATTGATTTATTGAGTTATTGGTCTAATGGTGTTGGAAATTTTAAATTGTAGCTGATGACTATGAATTCTAGAAAGGCGAGACATTCGCCTGAAGTTATTGAGAATTCAGATTTACTACTGATTGAGATTGGACTACAAGATTTACCAATTTTTACTGTTCAATTTGCAACCTGCGAATCTCTTCAATTTGCTTGTGACAATCTCCACACTCTTTATGTGAATTATGGTTTTAATGAGCTGGAGCATTGTGGAAATTCCTTATTTTTCTAACTAGCTTCTTTCTCTGAGAAGAGTGGCCTTTGTGATCTAATCCTGAGCTAACAGTGCTTTTAGCAGAGAAGGATGGACTTTGAACGGTTACAACATTTCGTGCGAGATAAGGTCCTCCAGGAATCATAACTCTTCGTAAACTTCTATTCTTAATTTTTGCAATACTGGCACCCTTTGAAGACGTTCTTTGGCTGTTACTTTTATGTATAAGTTCATGATTGATAGACTGATTAAGAATTGGCACTATTTACTTTGAAAAATAGGCTTAATCTTTCTATAATTTAGCGCTTGAAGGTCTTATTTTTTTCTTTTACTATTAACTTATTGGTTTGATTTTTTCTTATTCTTGCAGGAAAAGGTTTTAATGAACAGTTGAACCTTATGAATTAACTTGTAAATTAGTATAAACGTTAGCTTCTAATGAGGGTTTTCTATTAGCAAGTATATTAGATGCAGACTCAGAACCAGGCAAGTTACTGTGCTAGAAATACTTAATTTTAAGCTTTACAGCATTGATTGCATTTATGAACTCAATGCATTACTTGTGCTAATGGCCATAATTTGTTTCAATAACCTATTTTCCAGACTAATACTCCATTATAGCTTCTTCTAACTGCTTTAATTTTTCATATATCTGTCCCTTTGTGTGGAAACTCATTGCATGTAAGTTCACTTAGCTGTGAAATTATTCTGTGAAAAAGTCTCTATCATCAGGAGTTAAATTTTGGTCATTTAAAATTTCCATCAAATCATTGATTAACTTGTATGACAATAATATAGCTTTTTCAGCATATTCTAATCCAGGCTCATATTAACTCAGAAATGAATAAGCGTTGCAAATATTAAGATAAGTCTCAACTAGGGAGATCAAGGGTTATTGTCTATTCATTTAAGGCTGCTCAACACCGTCTATCTGGAGTGCATAATCCAATGATCTTAGCAGATACTTCAAACTCAGTCTTACATTTGCTTGGACGTTATGAGAGTGAGCTAAATTATTGAAAGTTTGGAATTTGAAGTTCGGATAGTTCTGACCAATTGGACTCAGCAATAAATACTCGCATTAGTGTAGAATTTCAGTAGCGACTCTGAATTCTCCTAGTTTAATGAGATGGAGGGCATGATCATTGCAAGTGATGACAAAATGCTACAAACATTCAAAAGTTTAAGACGAATCTTGACCGTACATTTTGATTCTTAATCTCAAATCTATACATTCATGTTAAAACAATGTCCATAAATAATATATTGATCGAATTTAAAAACTCTAATTTACAAAACTAAAGCTAATTCTACTTATAAATGTCGATGTTGAGCATAAAATGCAATCGCATGAGAAATTGGCTTACCTTGTTCAATAGAAGCTATAGTTTGCATTATTTGCTTGCATTCAGGGGAGATTGATTGCAAAAACTTAGTCAAATTTTCTTTAGTGCGCTGGCTTGTCTGCACAATTGACTGAGTACTGACTGAGCCAATTGAAGTATCAATTTGGCTCTTTTACATCGAAACTACTCTTTTGTTCCTCTATAAAATATGATGCATTTTATATTATAGTTTTAAATTTAATTTATTCCATTTTATTATAAGATTTGAAGTAAGGGGTTTTGGGGTTTTGGGGTTTTGGGG